AATTTCACTAGTGTTCAGGAGTTTGGGCAAATATTCTGCTACAGAACTGGGGTCTATAGCTGTGATTCTCAGTCAGGGTGCTGTGGCACCCTGGGATGCCTTGAGATCCAAGGGTGCCACGCAGTGTTAGCACAGATAGATGTGCAAACATGATTCACAATATAAACCCAGTGATTTCAAATAAGAATCCATATTGTTAAAAAAATTCTGACATTTTGGGCTCTATAAGATCTTTGCAATAGAAAATCACTCTATTCTTTTTCTGCACTCAAAAAATGAGTGAAAGTTTAGAGCTAGCATTTTCTGGTGGGTGCCTTAAGTCTAGCCAGGGGAGCCTTGAGCCTGAAAAAGTTGAGAACCACTGCTCTATAGAACCTATTATATTTCTGCACAAGACCTTGGCATCCTAGGTTAGCATGAACTTTCTTTAGGTCACAGAAAAGCAGAAGTAACATATTTCTCATGAGAGAACACCAAGTGCCTTTTCCTTAGTTGTGTTCCCTTTGCTGAACACTCAGCAAGTTGTCCCAGGGTCGGAGTACATGAGATACTGTCCCTTTCCTTGGCCTCTCTGACAGAATTCCTGGGCAAAGGAAATGTTACACTTTCATGAAAATGGGACCACACAGCCCAGCTGTCCTTTACCCAAGCTGATCTATCAGTCCCCTCATAGTTTAAGGGGACTGATGCCAGTCTTGGGGATGCTGTGAGTTCAGTTCACCTGACAGGTGAAACCCACCGACAGGCTTTGTAAAGGTTCTATAACACAGTTGATTTTTAGTTAGCACGAGAGAGAGACAGATCCAGACACAACAGTAAACACACCTGTATGCATTTTCATACTTCACTTTCTTCACTAGTTTGGATTCACTGGCTTAGATCTCAGTTCCTATTTCAAGTCATAGTTCTTGTCTGAATTGTGAAGTTAGTGTCTCTTTTCTCCCTCTGTAACCAAACACCTTCCTCTGATATTATCCGGTCTCTCTGTTTAGACAGAACTACTGTGCTACCAAAACATGTCTCTTTAGTTCTCTTTCCTGGCCAAAGCTTCCTGTTCTCCCAGAAGCCTGAGTACTTGTTCTTTTGAGAGTCCATTTTAACCCCCTGCTTTCTCCTTCCCAATAAAACCTCCAAACTGGGAATCAATACCAGATATTGGTGAATTGTATAGCCATAATGCCAACTATGTGGTATCCTAACTGGAATAATTTCTGTAGCCACCAATAGATAGAAATGAAACAATAGTTCCTGTGATTACAAACCTGTATTTTAGTTATATAATAAATGCTGTTTCCTTGCCTCTTTCTCACCTGCTTCTGTGAAATGCATTTAAAAGGAATGCCACTCCCATGTGTATTGCTGAACACTTACCAAAGAGTAATTGCTGGAGTGATTATTCTCTTGTGGGTGTTTTAAAATTTCCTTCTGCTGGACACTGTTGTCCAGAAAGTCTTAGAGAGCTGACTGGGGGCATTTTTCTTTTCAGTAGCCAAAACGGGGTTATCTACATGGCATATTTTTTTAGTCATTAATAATATGCATAAATGTTATGAATGTTCCTGTAAGTCCTGTTTGTGACATTTTTCTTTTGAGGGATTTTTTGGAATAAGATAACAAGGTTATTAACATCTCCATCTTCTGCAAGCAAATTATTATATATGTTAAAAATACCTTTGCACCACTTGCAACCTAAACATTGCATTCTGTGATTGAACAAGAATAGTAACCCAACTAGTTGTGCAGCGGGAGAGAAATGCAAAAATTTAAATTGATTAATTTAAATAATAATACCAGTGATGAATGCAGCTTTAGATTTTAATCATTCTTTCAATTTAAGTTGCAGAAAGTAACACTAACAGAAGGATGGAAATTAAGCAACATACACATATTTATATTTAAGCCCTGCCTGGTTCTGCTCTGAACTGGTTCTCTAAAAGTGGTATTGTGGAGTTTCTTGTTTGCCTGAGAGCAAGGTGAATTTCTTTAAATCATAATTTAAATCAGCAAGTGAAAAGCCCAATTTAAATAATTGATTTTTATCAATTTTCCCATTGTGTATATTTTTTGTTTTTTAAAGAAACATGTATTTTTATTGGTTGCAATAACAATGAGAACATGTTGATTTATTACAGTTTTTACAGTAGATTTAGTACGTACATTTCCTAGGTACATAAACTATATATATTTAAAAAAATATAGCCTAATATATTAGATTGTTAGAAAGTCTACATTGTAGTATGCTATAAAATGTTGAAATATATATTTCTTATTCACTAAATGATTAACTTGTTGCTTATATTTGTATTGAGCTGCATTAAGATGGCAACTTGAATTTAATTATTAAGCACAAAAACAGTGCTTTGGATTTATTTAATGTTTTGGATACAGAAACTTTTGTTATCAAAATGTAGTGCACATTTACAACTAACTAATTTATTAAATGCTAGTATTAACTGTTACAGTAGTAGAATTGTGAACTATGGTTAGTGAATTAAACCAGTTATTTTAGGTCACCCTGAGGAAAATTTTCTAAAATGCCTAGGTGAAAGTAATTTAAGCTTAAGTTCTTACTTGCATAATTCTCTTGAAAATTCTCCTTAAAATGGTCCTTTCTTCTGTACACACTGCTCCTAACTCTGTTCCCTCTCCCTCCTCTCACACAAGAAATTAACAGTAAATCAAGCCTCCTCTCTATGACAATCTACCATGCCCTTCACCCTCTCCTCCACCCTGCCCCCCCCCCCAACCCAACAAAACAGATTAAAACCCTTCCCCCTAACAATCCATGATATCTGCTATTGTAACCCCCTGGACTTGTGTGCTGAAGTATTTTAGCTTCGAGACATGGATAGAGCACTTCAGAAGTGCTCTACATGTACAAAAGGACCAAGCAGCGCCCTTTAACTGAAATACCCAGAACCCTTAAGAAGTAGGAGTTGGTAGTTACTGAGCAGATGGTTGCTCTTCCATGAGCTGGAGAATAAGCCTCCATTATGGATGCAGAATCATAAATGTTTGTAATTTGAGACCTGAGTTAATTAGGTAGAGAGAATAAAACAGGAGTTTGATACCGTGCAGGTGGGCTCAGTTAATAATCCTGGTCAAGGAGTACACATGATGGTGTATATCCATAAAATTCTACAGGTTTCAATACCTGTGATGACTTGGCTGATTCTTTGCACCCAGTAGCATAGACCCTGCATCCCTTGCAGGGTCAAACCCCTAATATATGAAAGATTTAATAGATTTCATAGATATTAGGGCTGAAAGGGACCTCGCTTGATCATCAGTTCTAGCCCTCTGCCCAAGGGGCAGGCAGTCAGCAGGATTGTGCCATATTTTTAAAACTTGACCTCAAAAGTTAGATTTTCTCCCTCATTCTTAAATAGAAGAAAATCAGCCTTTAACTTCAGAATTTTTAGTAGAGGCACATTGATTCAACACATTATTTTATTTAAATTATGTTAATAAATTATATAACATTTATATCTTGGACTATATTATATTACATTCAAATTTCATTGTAAGCTGGTTTATTTTTACAAAGGAAAGCTTAATTATAATTTAAATAAAAATTAAAAAACTATGTAAATTTAAAAATCCATTTTTTTTGGCTTAAAAGTAATCATGGATTTTTATCTACCCTGCCTAACGGCGACTTCAGCATAAAATGGGCAAATAGATTATTGTTTTGTTTGATTTTTTTTTTTCTTTTAACTTGCAGCCTGGCTATCTCAGGTTGGTACAGACGTGGCCTTCTCCGATCCCACCTCTGGACTGCAACAAGGAATGCTGCATGGTATTCTGGCTTCATGTGTGCTAACACCCAAGACAGATGTCATATAGCTGCCTTAGAGTGCTGCTGGATTTATGCTGATAAACACACCTGAGATTGAAAGCTTATTTGCAAAACTCCAGTGCTTCACTAGATTGGCTATATGACACTCTGTTTCAGGATTCAGTATACATAGAGTGTTTTCCTGTGGCACTCCCTGTTGGAATCTGGAAGCAGTGGAGACATACTTGGAGAGTTGGCTTGGGGTCTTTATGGCCTATCAGCAAGTATAAACACTTTGCAGGCCAAATCTGGTTCTTGCTCATACCTGAAGTGTGATAATGGCTTCTGTGTGTTTGATCAGGTGTAGCCACGTACTATCATGTCATTATTTTTGTTTTTACTGTGATGGAAACTAGGAGCCTTAGTCAAAGACCAGGTTCCCGTTGTGCTAGGTACTGTACAAGCAAAGAAAGCTGTTCCTTGTCCCAAAACGCTTATAGTGTCCCAGGTCAGGGGTTGGTAACCTATGACCCATGGGCTGAATCCAGCCATTGGATCTGTCCCACAGCTGTGGTGTTACCAGATTTGCCCATTACTTTGAGGTGTGCTCATTTATTAGGGACACGTTTCTAGGGTCTTGGTAATTCTATCAATGTGCTGCTTGTGTTACTTGTGTTTCTATACGGAGCTGTATATCTCCCTTCTG